TATTACCAACTCTCTTTCCCACACAAATCCAAAACACAGCCCCATACCAGCTACTGTGAAGAAAATGAACTCTAGCCCAGCCAAACCCAGCACACAGACAAAGCAGAACAGATAGAGGTTTATCAGATTGATTTTATATATAAGTGTTTCTAACACTGCCAAATGTCACTTTCTGGTTTAAATATTGTTCTTATTTGAATGTATTCTGTTGTAAGTTGCATAAGGTGAAGAGTTTTAAAAGAAGGTGATCTATATAGTGCTCCTTTTTATGTTCATGTACATACAGCTCAATTTCCTGTGTTGTCTTCTCTCTTTCTGGCCACAAAACAAATGCTGTGAGCTGTCTTCAGACAGTCAGAGCTGTTTCAGGGAAGTGTCCAGCCAGTTAGCTCTGTCTTAGCAGAAGCAGTCATGTTCCCCCTTCAGTGGGCACACAGGTTTGTGCACAGTAATAGAAATCCACTGAGATTGTCAGGTGCAGGTGGTTAGAAGGAAAACCTGCCTGAGAACACAATATTATATATTGAAAGTACAAGTAAATTTTGTTTGTGGCTTCAAAGTAACATTCTAAAGATTAGATTGCTGCTTCGTTGGGCTTGAACCCCTCATTGGCAGTTAAAAGATTGGGATCTGAAGCAGTCTTTTCACTGTTCCATCAGATAAATGAGGCAGAGGCAAGATAACAAAACAGACAAGTTTTATAGAACCTCTTGCACAGTATTTATTTGAAAAGTACTTGTCTCAAAAATTGTTAGCTGAAACATGTTTGTCTGTGTTTGGGAGGGAGTGAAAACAGAAGATTCTTTCATAGGTAAAACACTTCATGGTGTGATTCATGCTTAAATGAAATTTTTCTTGAATTTACTTAGTTCTGGATGCAATTATTGTGTGCATGGACTTGCTTCAGAAGGAAACCATGTGAGTATGTAACCCAAAGCCTTTTGCAGAATTCTGACCTTGCAGTTTGGAGCTGATGTGATTTCTTGTCAGTATTACATTCTCAGTATGTGTGAATAGGGAAGATGCTTTCCTAAAGAAACCAAACATTAAAACCAAACAGCACACCACAGGATTCTGGCTCTGAAGGATCTCCATGAGGCATCTAACTTCTCTAGACAACCTGAGAGCTTTCTGAGGCAACTGGCAGCTTTGCAGTAGTCATGAGAATATTAATGCCCTTATAGAAGGCACAAAGGCTTCACTTTGTGTCACGTTCCTTGTGCTGTTTTTAGAAAGCATTAATTCACTTGTTAAAATGCTTAGAAAAGAACTACCAAATTTATATTGCATATCCTGCAAATTAAAAGGGAAAACTAAACTAGAGAGGTGAATTTGTTCAGCTTAGCAAATTGAAGACTGTTGAAGGTTTAAGTTTGTAAATATGCAGGCTGTGGGAGATGAACCTGCAGTAGGAACAAACACTGTTTAAGCTGAGAAAAAATGTTGACACAAGTGTTACAAAGTTGACAGTGAATGTACTTAGGCTGCAAATGTGTTTCTAATAGCCAGGGAACTGATGGTCCAGGAAGGTAACCACACTTCCTCTCAAACCAAAGCTTGACCGGGTTGCTAAAAAGGTTATGTGATGTAACTGTGGATGCAGGAGACAAGACAGTTTGTATTTTTTTGAAGGAAGTCTAATCAGTTTGGAAAGCTACATCAATTTAATGGTTAAAACTGAGTTGTGAGTTAAAATCACTGTGTTCATGGCAGTATAAACTTGCATACCTACGGAGCAGCTGCTTTTGTTGTTTTGTGGGAAGTTGCTTGCATGCACCAAACCCCTCCATGTGGAGTTTGCTTCAGCTGAGAAAATACTGTCGGGTAAAAATTAACGAAAATCACCTTTATGCTTGAATATCCAGATCAGAACTGCATAGGTTTAACTGAACTTAGTTTGCCCTGTCGCTGGCAGACCTTTTGGATGTGTATTGTTACTACTTCTTAGTGTATTAAGGAATCTTGAAAGTCATTCTTATCAATCAGCCTGCTTAATTAGATTACTAAAATGGAACTCCCACCAGCAATAGTAATTTCAAATACATTTTCACAAGAGCAGACTTAGAGCTGCAAAGGAAATATCCAGTATAATCAATAAACAGCCTAACATGTTTTCTTAGTGTTCTGTCTGCATTGGTGAAAATTGACAGAATTCCCTTCATTTAGATATAGTTAGTGATTTATACAGTCACAGGGTTAGAGTCGTCAGTTTTAGGGGGTAGGAAATATATCAAGATAAACACTTAGTTTAAGTAGTATAAGCTATGACACAACTTCTACCAAGTAGGTTTATTTGCCTTTTTTTTCCTTTTACAATTGTATTATTTTGGTAAAGCATCAGTTTTATAAGGAAATAATTGGAAAATGGCTTTACTGATAATATTATATATA